CCGGGTTGGAAATGAAAACTCAGTGAATTTGCAATATCGCCCACTTCTAACATTGGCGTGCTTCCAATTGGGATAGATTAGATCTATTTTGTTGCCGTCAAAAGTTCTGAGAACACTCACGGGCGGAGTTCAATCACAATGATACAGTCACAATCTATTATTAACTCTTCCACGAAGTTTCTTGTTTAATGAATGTTGAAACTGAATGAATTAATGAAGCATCACACTAATCTCTAATAAGGTTTCAAGGTTGTTTTTCAAAAAAATGAAAGATATTAAAAAAAATAATTACACTGAATCATTCTTTGAAAACTTCATAACAAACGTTTGAAATGGAATGAAATTAACATTTACGTTTTTACAACTTTGTTTTCTGATTGTTTCAACCGTTACTTGATGAAGAGTCATAGTGATTTCATAAACTACAATAGCTATTTCGAAGTCAATGACTTACTGCGACTTAATTCTGTTATGAGATAATGTGGACACAGTAGTACTTAGACACAGTAATACTCGACAGTACTCAAAATTATTACCCCAGAATATATAGAGATGCAATAGAGATTCGAAAGTATAGGTATAATTTCAATCGAAAAGGAAAGACAATGAATATTAATAAAAGCTGTCTACCTGTCCTTAGATGTACACGATCAGGTAATACAACAGTACTTATGATGTACTGTTTGGAACCTTTGGTGTAGTTTTTTCCTAACACCAAATCGTTATTTTCAATACTTTGACACGTGTTCCGATCACCAAGTGATCATCTTCAAGAGGAAGAAAAAACTGGAAACTTTGCGAAAGTGAAGCTATTTATGCTATACAGATATATCACACAGGTATACCACCCTAAATTAATTTTACAATTAGCCTTATCTATTATTTCACAATATGTCCTTATGTAATGTTCAAATTTTATAGCTATATATGAAACAATTTTCAGCTATATGAAAATTAATTTCACAATATTGCCTATCTTGATATATTTACAATGTGTCCTTATGTAGTGATCAGTAAACCCAACAATATTATTTCAACAAGCTATATAGTATGCTATTTGGTATTGGTCCGTCATCGTTATAAATAATATTATTATGTTTACTTATTTCTACACTCTCATGGGCATATAGTTGCCTAACTAATCTTAATGAACTGAAGTCTATGGAATGGTTTTGTTGCAAAATATGATGGGCGACTGCTGATTTTTCAGTTCTTCCATATTATAAGTGTGCTATGTGTTCCTTATATCCTTCCGTAAGACGTACTTTGCATTGTTTCATTCACACATCAGCTACGGTGTTGTTCTTTGGGGGAACTCTCCTGATTCGATGAGAATTTTCAAACTACAGAAAAAAACTGTAAGAATATTGGCAAGTGCAGGTTTCCGGGAGCACTGTAGACCATTATTCAAAAAATTGCTAGAGAAACAGTCTGACATACACCCACACTTCACGAAAAAGGCGGACAAGGTAAAAACATGCCGTTATCGTTTGACCAGATCAAACATGAATTCTAATGATTACAATATTTTCAACTCTCTGCCAAATAACTTCAAAGAGCTTAGTATCACCAAATTCAAAAGAGCCATCAAGGAAATGCTACTCAACCAATGTTTTTACTCAGTCTCGGAATACTACGATCATTTTATTACAGTTCACGTCAGCTGTCCACTCAAGATGAAACATACTCACCGGTATCGATTGTAGGTACTGTGGTAGTTTGTATATACCTCCTATTATCATAGGAGAATATTTATTTGTTTATATATGTACGTAGGCAACCTCTGTGTTACTTAATATTTGTATATTTTTACAATTTACTCACTTGTTTTATATGTTTATTTAAGAAAGCCTACACTTGACTTGCTACAAACATGAAAATGTGAGGTAGTTAATAAACTATTCTATTCTATCTCACTTCAATAGATCTTTTTGTCTGTCCATAATATTTTGCATCGCAGTCCTTACATTCAATTTCGTAAATTCCAGACTTTTCCGAATTCTCGACTTTGTCTTTTGGACTTCCCAAAAGCCTCTGTAGTGTATGACTTGTTTAAAAAACCACCTTCCTACCTAGTTCCTTGGAAATATTCCCAAATTTCTTCGTATATTGGTGTTATGGAACTGAGATGTATTTATCTTGATTTTTGTCATTTCTGAAAGTCGAGATTTCGTTCATTCTCAACCTAAACTTCATCTTCCTTATCATGTCATCCACAATACCCCTCGAGAAACCGTTAATGACTGCTATTTCTTGTACTGTACGTTTTTCTTTTGTGAACCTATCATGTGAGGGAAAGTCAAAAGACGATGCACCAAAAAATTCAACACAGCACGTTTGTGCTGTTCACAGTGATGTGAACTGTCAGGAATTTACCTGTACGTCTTTTCTAAATATCATATTCTAACCCTCCATAGAACACATAGCACCTCCAAGAACACTAGCACACTTAAAATATGGAAGACCTGAAAAATCAGCAGTCGCCCATCATATTTTGCAATAAAACCATTCCATAGACTTCAGTTCTTCGAGATTAGTTAGACAAGTTAACAATCATATTTTGCAACAAAACCATTCCATATACTTCAGTTCATTGAGATTAACTAAACAAGTTAACAAGAACAGGCAACTAGATGCCTATGAGATTGTAGAAATAAGTAAACATAATAATATCATGAATAACGATGACAGACCAATACCAAATAGCATACTATATAGCTTGTTGAAATAATATTGTTGGGTTTACTGATTACTACATAAGGACACATCGTAAACATATTAAGATAGGCAATATTGTGAAATTAATTTTCATATAGCTGATAATTGTTTTATATATAGCTATAAAATTTGAACATTACATAAGGACATATTGTGAAATAATAGATAAGGCTAATTGTAAAATTAATTTAGGGTGGTATACCTGTATGGGTGGTATACCTGTATGATATATCTGTATAGCATAAATAGCTTTAGTTTCGCGAAGTTTCCAGTTTCATCTTCCTCTTGAAGATGATCACTTGGTGATCAAAACACATAATAATAATAATAATAATAATAAAACCCTGCAGAACACGGCCAGAAAAACCGGGAAATAGCTTCCATACAGTTATATCCGGCTGTGAAAGTTTACATTCTTTTTAAGAATTTCAGATAGTTATTGCAATATAATACTAAAGAACGAAAATTTGCGGCGCGAACATCGAACAGGCTGCGGAACATCGGGTGCCTTATTCTCGAAGCACATCGAGGTAGAAGTGATCTTGGTCACGTCACAATTGAATTATGGCTGCCAGTGGCGGCCGGCGTTGCTTTCTTTAGGACATGATTTGCAACACTACCCCAAACAAAATTCTTCAGGCTTGCTTCTTGGTGACAATTGGATTTTGTACACCAGATCGTTTACCTTTTCGCTTACCAAGTGAAGTCTTTGCCAAGGTGTCAGTAACTTGGGACACAAACCTTTTCGGCGTTGCGACTGGCTGCGACTTTTTGTCAAATCTATTCTTCATCTTGTCGCAGGAAAGCTGTTATTTGGATCTGGCAAATTTGTGTACAATTTCCAGTACATACATCTATTGGAAGCTTCAGTTCTCGACCTGTTAACAACATGGATGGTATGTATCTTGACGCATCGTGTTGAGAGCTCCTGTGTGCCAGAAAAAAGAGGAAACAATTTATTCCAGTCTCTTTGATTTTCGGAAACAAAACATCGAGAGGTAGTTATTTAAGGTGCGATTATGCCTCTCGACCATTCTATCGGACTGTGGGTGAAGAGCAGTTGTTTTTGTCTTCTTCATTCTCAACAATGTCATTATTTCCTAACATAAATTCGATTCGAAACTGCAGCCCTGATCCATGTGTAGTTCCTGGGGTACTCCGTGTCTGTCAATTACGTTCTACAACAGGGTTTCCGCCACCGTTTTAGCCTCTTGGTTGGGTAAGACTACTACTTCAGATCATTTAGAGAAATATTTCATCACAACCATAAGGTACTTTTTACCAGATATGGTCATAGGGAGTGGTCCCAGAAGGTCAACTGTGATTCTTCCGAAAGGGCACATACTGAGGTATTGCTTCAACCTCCCTCTTTGCCTTGTCTTCGGACACTTTCTCGAAGAGCACAGGTCACAGCGCGTATACCACCCTATCACGTTTCGGCGGCACCTTACCCAATAATACCACTCACACACTCTCGCTAGAGATCTATTTACTCCGAAATGTCCTTCAGTGCGATTACCATGGAGCTGTTCGAATATATTCGGGATACACGTCTTCGGAACGATCATCTGGAACTTGTGAGTTCTCCCATTGGGGCTTTCCCATTTCCAAATGAGTAGGTCATCCCGAATGTTCATGGAATCCCATTGAAGCCAGTAGCTCTCTGCCTGCTGGCCGTGCTTGGGAATCTTTTGCCATTTCGGCCTCACTCCTTTGGCAATCCATTCCCGTACAGTTTTCAAAACTGGAACCTTTTTCTGCGCTACGATACTCCCTTGCCTCGTCATAAAGGTAGAGTCACCCTCAGAGGCTGGTAATGATCATACCACAGCATGGTCAGGATATTCCCCAGGTTTCCTGAACATATCCCTGGACAAGAGACCCTGACAGCTTGCTAACCTCCGGGTCAGAGGGAACCTGCAGCGGCTGGAGATGGAAAAACTAATATTCATATCAGAGCTGACCAGAGCTCCTGGCGTTGACAAAATTTCCATCGGGATATCAGGTAGGGTCTTTTTGAAAGGCTATCTGCGTTTCCGTGACTCGTTCCTTTCAGATTCTGGATTTAAAAATCGTTAGTTTGTAACTTTTCGATCCTCCTGGCTATTTTTTTTTTGGGCTTCTGAAGTCGAAGAAGAATATATGATTAGGAAAATAAATTTCGTGAAACTGCGTCAGTTTACATGAACATTTTTTAATAAACTGAAACCGATCGTGATGAATCCTATGAGATATTAGACAAAAGTTATTTTCTCTATTCTATATTTATTTCAAAATCTTACCTCCATTACATTATCTCGATGCATTATTCTGGGTCATGCTGAGAAAGATTAGCCATATCACAAGGTAACATTTTCAACGCATGTTCAATCTGAAACAAAATATTATATCAATATTTTGAGTAACTAATATGCGTTAGGAACTTTTGAATTTGCCATTGAAAATTTCATATAAGATTCCACTCTGATTCAAAATACAAAATCGATACAGTGTTAGTTGAATCAAAAAAATTGTCATTATACGATGTGAAGGAATACAGAATATTCAGAAGTATGTTCTTGAAGAAAACTCAAGAAATTATTTAATGATTTTTTTGCCCCGAGGGCCTCATTTCTTGAATACCAAATCTATAACAAAATGACATTTCTTCTTCTCAGGGCACTTTTCTGAACTTTTTTCCAATACCGACCTGTACATTTTTCTCATTCGTTAGACACTGATCAATTTGTAATTCCAAGGGTGTATCACAAAGTTCAATTCCAAAAAAGACTCGTTCATTCTAAACCTTCTTCGGTAAGTGAAGTAGGACCTCATCATTATATAGTATTATTATATAACAAGTACTAATTGGAACAAATAATTCTCCCGGAGAGAATAAGATACATCTTCACCATGAAGAGATTGATTTGTTTACCAAAAAATAAAATTGAAAGTGAAAAATAAATGAAATGCTTCCATTTGTAGCAACACAAATACTTTTTCTATTACGTGACCAAACTTATCAACTTTCTGACTGTTGCTGTTGAAATAATTTCCACGTATCTTCATGAAAAGTAATTTAACAAAGATTCCAATCATATTCTGGTTTGAGTTTTGTAACATATCAAAATTGATGAGGTTTATAGTACTTTCGGATACGAAACACTATTCAATATGTAAGAGAATCTGATTTCACTGGTCTAGTTACTTACTTGATTTCATTGAAAAAAATATAGAAATTTTCGTCATATTCGAAAAAAATATTATTCGTTCATTTCTCACTTTGTTTTTATTGAAACCTTGTTTTTCGTTTTCAAATATTAGTCTATTAGTTTCGAATAATTCCATTCAATTTAATAAAATACCGGGATTTCAAATGTAGGTGCCCTTTTGAAAAATATATTGCAATTTCTGATTCTATTTGATGTTCGAATATTTGATTCGTCGTAATTTTTTCACGACTATTTACATTGGCTATGAAAATATCTGAATGTCTGAAGGGGTGTCAAAAATTACAATTTGATGAATCCGATCACGAAGTAAATTCATTTATTGTTCACTATATGATTATAATACTCCAAAATAATTTGAAATCACAAACAAAACAAACGCAACATTGCACCGGAATAATTATCCTAAAGCCAATAACACCGCTCAATGGGTTATGAAAACTCATTATAGAGCCTAATGAGGCTATTGTGAATTATTTGATATTATCTGGAAACTGATACAACAAATAAATGGTGATTCAAAAATGATTTGAGAGTTTCACATCTATTTTTGATAACAAGAAGGTCGTGGCTAACTGTATACACGGAAAAATACGAAATTTCCGTGCCTATTTCTTTATCTTGTGAATATTACTAGAAAAATTAATATGGATGTTATCAGAAAAATTATTATTTTGGAATAAAATCCGAGACATTTGCCTCTCCCGACGTTCCTACATAATAGCATTTGGGGGATGTTAGCAAAACAGATTGAACCACGACTTGTCCTACACCAACAAAGGTTAGGTTAGGTCGAATCCAAAGTGAGTGGGTCTATTCGACCCCCCACCGCAATCCGCAAGGGTTCATTGTGGCTCACACCTATTCACACTCGACCAAATGAACCCAGCTTCTTAACGAAGCCAATTAGTTTGTATGGTAAGTGGTCTTTCAGGACAGATGGTGAGAGTAAGGCTCTGCAGAACTCTAAAAACCTGATTCGGTCTCCAGCGGGGCAGGCACAAAATATATGCTCTGCTGACGATGCCTTCAATTCAACCGTGCAGGACTATTTCGCCTCTGGATTTGAGCGCAAACGTTTGCTAACCTGCTCATGGGGGGTTTGTTCCTCCACCTGAGACAGATTATGTGTAGGGCGCTCAAGAATTTGGTGCGAGGAGGTTTTATAAGATACCCCGTTCTTGTGGAGACAACTCAGTCGTTCCCTGGCTGCACCACGAAACCTTTTTTTGGTTCAGTTAATGGATCAGTTAATGGATCAGGAGTTGGGGAGTTGAGAAGCTCTCGCTCCAGAACTAAATTTATAGGAAGGTCAGTTGGAGTCGTAAATTCGACATCCATCTCCTCTGTAGACTCGATCCTGATTTGAATTTACAGGGTGGTCAGTTAGACTCACTAGCTCGACATTCATCTCCTCTATAGACTCAGCGTCAGAAAGAATTTTTAAGTGCACCCTGTCCATGAAAGTCCCACGAGTAGCTAGGGAAAGAAGGTCAGAGAGACAGCTGATTGGCTCAGTGCTATTCATCCTCTCGGCACGGATATACACACCTTAGGACTAATCTATCGTTGAAATACCCTTCAGTTAGGGAATAACAAAACCACAAGTGATTTTGTCATTCCCGGATCCAGCGGGGCTGCGTGGGAGCAGTACACCTTAGGATTAAGCCATCGTTGGGGTGCCAATCAGTTAGGGAATAACAAAACCAGGAGTGATTCTGTCATTCCCGTATCCAGTAGGGCTGGTTTGCTCAACCGGTTTGCTCAACCCCCACTTCCCAAGCCAATGCACTCGCCAAAAACAGCATGCACAGGGGTTCAGGCAGTGAAAGATGAACAAAGACAGCCAACCCGCCACAACGACAAAGAGTCGATCAGTGGAAACTGGTCTGTAAGTGATCACTTGAATGATTTCAGCGATGTCCTGCTGCTGGAGGAGCAAGAAGCATATGCAAAAACTTCGTTTTGTCTATCGAATATAATTCAATTTCCATCGTATTATTAGCCAAGAGAATAGTTTTCCGTCAGGCACTTTTCAAATTCTCCATATCCCTCTCGACAGATATGGTGTTCCAGAAAAAAACGGGTCTCACTTCCTTTCAGAACTTTCATAACTATTCTACCAGGAGTGATATCAAAAAGTCAGTTTTCTGATCGAACTGATCGAATGGATACAGTGTAACCAAGATCAACAAGGCTATGAAACTGGGGAATAGAGGGGAATTTCAAACGGTTGCATGTGCATTTCTACCGTATATCCTAAGGGTTACAGACAGAATCGAAGAAATCTTAGGGAGGCATAAAATAAAAATAGTGTTTTAGCCCCCCAGGAAAATACAACAAAGCCTTAGATCTGCGAAAGACTAAAATGATTCACTATCAGCAGCGGGGGTATATCGTATACCATGCACCTGCGGAAAAGTGTATATCCGTACCACCAGAAGATCCATGGGTACAAGGCTGAATGAACATCGAAGAAACTCTAGATTAGATAAAATAGACATTCCGTCAGAAGCGGAACACGCGCTTAGTGAAGGACACCACACGATACTGTTTGAAGACGTGAAACTAATTGCCCCTGATTATGAATACCACAGTCGGTTTGTACGGGAAGCCATATAAATCCATAAACATACGGAAAACTACAACAGAAGAAAGAAGGCGGTAACGCTTAGCCGGATTTGGAATCCAATACTGTAAGATGCTTGATTGGCAACAGCGCAAAACCATGTTACGTCATTACCAGGTAATAACACTTCGTTCAATAGCAACGCATCAAGAAGGGAGGCGGACTACCTGAGTCGGAATGAATTGAACCTAGGAACTAGCAGTTAGGAATCACACGTTAAAAGGTAAGATCTCGTTAATCCTCAGCTCGCACAAGTTTCTACTTCTGAGGGTTGTCGTTCGTAGGGGTGCGACAGCTGGTTAACGGAAAACAGAAAGCAGTCACCAGTCATCTGTGAATTAGCAAGATAAATAAACCTCTGAGGAAGCCAGTCACTTGTGCTGGCGAAATGTTAGGAAGCAGGCCTTCAAGATAGTAACACTGAAAATTTCGGCTGCGAAAGCCTTAACCAATTTATCAGATTGGTTGTGATTGGGTATGTTTTGGTTTTTGGTTTACAGATGTTTACCACTTGTCAGTCCTCTTCATCATTACGTTTGGAAAGGACAATTCATTGTGGACCTCTCGCTTCATTTTGAGTAGGTATTATCGAGATCTTCCGCTTTTGAGGTACTGCAAAAAAGTATCTAATATAGTTTTGATATTTATTTCATTTCAATTTTATTTTTCCTTCCATGGATTTAGAATATGTCAACACATTTTCATATAATGAAACTTTTAGCATAACTCTCTCTACAACTGTTTAAAGATTTTTCAAAAGCTTCAAATTTGTTCACTTATTATATGATTTTATCAATTTCTTAGTTTGGAACTAAGTCTCAGCCAACAAGATTTCCAACCAGGTCTATTACTCTCCACCAGAAAAATGGGGATCCATCTACAGAGTCTTAGTACGCCAGACAGGTGATGAATTTATTTCATAACTTACTCTCCAACCCTCTCGCTGTTTGTGAAACAGCCCGGGGAACATATTTAATAAACGTATTCAGCGTTCAACTTCAATAAATTATGCTCGTTCATTCGGGTACCGAACAATTAGATTTCATTCACGTCACCGCGAACTCCTCCAAGTTTTTCGTTTGAAATAGGCCGTGCGAACAATTTCGAAAGTTGAAACTGACAAGAAAATTTGATAATATATGTCGGGTTCTGAGCGAGTTTCAAAGGAATGTTCCTCTGCGTGTCTTATGGCGTTAATGGAAAGTGAAGTGAACTGAATAAGAAGAGGGAGCTTTTGTTTGATTTTTGAAAAACATCAGTACGACTGCTTTCAATGAAGGGAGTGATTCGCTTCTTTCTTTTTCATCTGGGACTAGTGAATATTGAAATAGCACATGAGTTCCAATTTTTTATATTTAAATGAGTGACGACAAAATTGTGCGAGCATTTTCTAAACACTGTAGGCTCCAAATTGACAGAAAATCAACAAATATAATAAGAAACCTCAATTCCAACAGTCAGAGAGAAAAAAATAGAGAGATGCTTTTTCGAAACTCAAATTTTTCGACAGTGGCGCAAAA